GATCAGAATGCCTTCCACGCTCTGATTACTACAGACCAAAGGCAATAATAGAGACAGAACCTTTAGCTCCACAATACTGGGGTGGAGCTCGAGGGGCATCCTGCTCATTTCATCTCACGTAGGCACAAGACCACATCACACTAATAACTAGTGAATTTAAAGGTATGTGCTCCACTTTCAAATCATTTAGGGACCAAATGAAAATAGCTGCATGACAGTTTTTGTTTGCACAAAAAAAAGCCACCAACTATGGTAATTAGCTCCATTAATGACATCATCATCAACGCGGTTCCCTCCTCAGGTCTACTGAATTAAGAGCCGGTGGGCAGGGATCTGGGCATCTGGATTATTAAAAAGCTTTTCTAAGGAGTCAAATGATCGGCCAGGCTTGGGACCCACCCAAGTGTGTTAGCGCACTCCGCTCCCCCTCCCTCACACGCCCCCAGAACACCGTAAACGCAAACGTGATCCTAAGGGACATGAGAGGGAGAGGAGGTTGGGCTGAGGCCAATTTCAGTTTTAATAAGAAAACAAAGAGAGTCACCATTTGCGTTCGTTTTCCCCTTTTCACGTGAGACTCTCATTTACCTAGAAAAACGCATCAGGTCTTTCTCAAAGAGGCGGAGCAGGAAGGAAAGGTAGGGAGGAGGCGGGACTGGGAGGACATAAGTCTGCACAGTAACCTGACATGGTGGTAAAAAGTCCTTCCAGCATTTCCAATTTTAACCAATAAGCACAGGGTGCACGAAGCATGTACCTAAAGAGAGCGCCAGGAACCCCACGGGAGGGGCTTCACAGCCCTGAAATCCTGGGAGTCCTGAGCACCGGCTCTCAGGGGTCAGAAGCACCCACCCCAGCCCTAACAGGCTGTGGAATCGCAGGTGAGCCTTCTAACTTCTCTACATCCTTCCTTTCTCTGTAAAGTGAAGAAACGGGACAAAAGGACCTTGAGGGTACCTTCCGGCTTCAGATGCTTCTGTAACCTTAGAACCTTTCTCCTGAAGTACAACCAACCCATAAAACCGTCATCGCCTCAGACAAGCACGAGGCTTCTGCACTTTCTCCCGGAGAAGTGCTTCCCCACATCCAAAGGACAATGAGGTGAGACTGGAGACCCCACACATGCCATGACCCCAATGGCCTCTCCTAAAAATATCCTCTAATACATGGAACGGACTGGTGAAGTTCAGACGGCACGAGTAACACAGCCCCAGCCACGTCCTTCCACCTCTGCTCCTGAAAGCCCAGTGGGAGAGACCAGATGTCTAGAGTAGCCACCAGGGGGATGCAGCCTGGAGACCCCCATACAGCTGAGTCGTATCTGACCCCACAGCCAAGACTGCCAAAACCCCAAAACCAAATCATTGCCGTCGAGTCGATTCCAACTCATAGCGACCATACAGGACAGAGAACTGCCCCAAAGGGTTTCCAACGAGCAGCAGGTGGATTTGAACTGCTGACCTTTTGGATAGCAGCCTGAGCTCTTAACTACTATGCCACCAGGGCTCCGGCGCCAAAACTGCCAGGGGCTTGTAAAACTGTGGCAGATCCTGTAGCTGCCATGTGTCTACAGGGCAGTGCTCAGTCCCAAAGGCTGCAGGTGACACACCGCTCTGCACACCTGACTCTGAGATGGTCCTTCTGGTCCCACTGGAGTGGGAAGGCCAGCTTCCCGGGGATGCTCACACCTGGAAGGTCTGCCTAAGCTCTGAGCATCGTCAGCACCCCTCGGCCAAATTCCTCACCTGGAAGCGCAGGATGATGGTCCAGATGAGGCCGAGGGTCAGCCGGTGGTTCCCGTCCACGATGTCGTGGGACCCCATGTTCTCCAGGTGGACTCTCTGCTCCTTCAGGAACTGAAGGGCCTTGTCCACGTTCTCCAGACAGTGGATGCGCATCCGTCCCTTGGTGGGTTTCGGCTAGAAACGGGAGAGCAGAAGGTGGAAACAGATCAGCCAATCGGACAGAGACAGTCCAGAACTCCGCATGCCCATGAGCGCGGCACTCTCTCACCCAAATGAAAACGCTAGAAAGAGGTGCCTTCATTCTCTCCAAGGACCACGCTCTCTAACA